AAAAAAAAAATTGTGCAAAAACGTTTGTACATAAAAATCTTTTCTGATTCACTGCATCATAATTTTTAAGATGAGGAGTCGCATGAATATATGATAATTATATCTTTTTAATTCTTTGGGCCATAACATTTAATACAGGCAGCAATTTGTTACATTGCTAAAAAGATTAGGATAGTGGGATTATAAAATAAAAGCGGCCTTGTTTGACCAAATCTTGAACAACCAATATTCTTTGTTCCCTTCTTTCTTGTTGTGAATGATACTATGAAAGTTTGTGGTACGCTGGGATGGAAAAGACAAAAATAATGAAATGACTGCAAGTCTATTGAAAACAATAATTTTGGTTACCTTTGAACAGTCTTGCCCAGCATCACTTTCAGCTCATTCATAGCAAAATTCTGTCCAATACAATTCCTGGAATATTCAACATCGAAAATCAAGTTTTTTTTCCCCCTAGAATACTTTATTCCAACTTTTCTTCTCTTGCCAAAAAATTATGACAATTTATCAAGTTATCTATTAAGGAAAGTAGTGTTTTATTGCCATTTCTCTAACTCACCTTGGACCTGCAGAAAAGGGAACAAAGGAAAAGGGGTCTGTTTTCTTGGCATCTGTGTTTAAGAAGCGTTCTGGTCTGAATTCCTAAAATAATAAATTTTTTACGAAACATTACACTTCCATTGACACTGATTATTACACTGCTTTTTCCAAGAGGAAATGGAAAACAGGGTTGAGACAGGAAGGGGGGTGGTAAAAATATTTCAGTAACAAGGCTATCTCCAGCCATCATTTGGAAAGCCGTTAGCTTCAAAAGATGGCCCATACTTCCAAAGACATCTGGACAGCTTACAAAAATGTTGGGTTGGTTGGATGGACTCCCTTGGGTATGTACAGTATTTATATCCTTATCAAGTGAAAATTAGCAAAAAGAAAGCTTGGCATATGAATACTACATTATGAATTCATCCAAGGCAGTCTGCTGCAAACACCAGATAGTGACAACCAGCAAGCCGCATATCACATGAGACTAAAATTATGAGTTAAAACCTGTAGGCTTAACTGTTAAGTGATAAGGATGAAACTCTTGGCGCTGGGAAAGTCTTTTTAGAAAACAATATAAAAATGCACTCAAAACAAAGTGAATTACACACGTTACTGATGTCCAACAATAGACTGTAATTCCACATAACATCAGCTTTACTCACTGCCTCACTACACCGCACTGGACAGTCTGACATTATTTCTGACACCACTCTCTTCCAATTCCACAAAATAATATTTGATTTCATGCTAAGCCATGAGACTTAAAGCTATCTTTGACAATTCCCATTAAAATATTTCTGTATTTCCTCTTCACCAACACCCTTCACAAAGTTACCAAGTTATGCATCACATAAATCATTTTTATCTTCAAAGTTACATCTTTCAAGTACCTACTGTACCATATGAGCAAAAATGTTCATTAACTTGGTAGTTGGATCATACATGATCATTCATGTACCTACCATGTGGTCTGGGAACACAACAGGGTTATGGTTCATTTGATGGATGCAGATATCAATCTTTGTTCCAACTGGCACAACATGCCCATCAATCGTCAGCTCCTGGGTCAGCGTACGCGCAATTAAAGGAACAGGAGAGTGCATGCGCATAGACTCCTTCAGAAATGCACTCAAGTAAGGCATACCATCGTGCAAATCATTCCTGCAATAATGATTCAATTTTTTTTCATAAATTTTTTACTGGCAGCTTTTTCTTTTGCTTTATTTTTATATTTATTTTTTCCATTATTCATCTCAATGACAGTTAGTACATAGGAATTTCCTAAATATTTAAAAACATTTTTGTTTTTTTGCTCGAAATTCCTTCTTTTTTATCTATGACCATAATTACAAAAAAAAAAAAATCACTGAAGTTTCAATTTTCTTTTTTTCCTCCTTACCAAGTAAATTCTTTATTCTCTCTTTCAGCAAGCAAATTGTCAACTTCTGCTTGAACTTTTTTCTGGTGGTCTGGATATTTAGCCAGGGAGTACAAAGTCCACGCAAGAGCACTGGCAGTTGTGTCATGGCCTGAATATATATATTACGTACATATATAGTTGAAAAAAAAATTCAATTTCTTTCACATGCAGCATATATAGTAAAAAAAAAAAATCACTAAAAATTTGGTCCTTGATATATATATAAAGTGATGCATTTGGCATCACCATTAATATCTGACATGCCTTTCCCTAACATTCAATACAACAATAAACATCCAAAATGTCCTCAGGACTGCTTTGTCATATTAATCAAAATTATCAGTATTCTGTTACATTAATTTGTGAATTGAGAATATCTCACATTACCTCTAAAAAGGAAAGTGTCTGCCTCAGCTCTGATGTCTGAATCTGACAACCCGACACCATTTTCATCTCTCGCCATCAGCAGTATGTCCAAAAAGTCCAGTTTCTTTCCTTGTCCCCCAACAATGGATTTCTAAATTTCATAACACAATCATGATTAAATCCTTGCACACATCACACCTGATCTTTTTATTTCATTCCTTTGTTACAACAATATGTAATAGGCAGCTATTTGGCAAATTATTTTTCTTAATACTAATAAGTTACAGCAATCCTTATGTAACTGGATTCAAATAAGATTTTTTGGGAAAAGACTTAGCAATTGTGTGGCTTCTATACTGTATCATACCCCAGGCCTTAGAAAGAAAAGAAAAAATACAAGCTTCAATTACCAACTGTTCTTTCCTCTTTTCAATGATACTTTCAGTTACACCATGTACATAATGTAAAAGACGCTTGTTTTCTTTTCCATCAGGTGTCAGATAGAACACAAAATCAAACCAGAGATGCGGATTACTGAAATGTATAACATTTCCAAACATATAAAATGACTAAACAAAATTAAGGAATGCAACATTTAGGTAAATTTTTATTTTGAAAGTAACAAAAACATTTTGGCACTGTAAAAGCTGTTTACCTGTTTAGATTTCATATGATTACTTCAATGATAATAAGAAATGAAAACCAAGCACAAAAACAGTTTGCAGGATATTGACCTATACTTTGTGCCAAGTTCTTTACAGCGTTACCACGGTATTTTTATTTGGAAATGCACATATAAATCCTCAGACACACAATTAGTCTCAGAGGTGTACATAAAATTATGTCACAGAGTACAGAATAGAACAGTATGCACCCGTCTGTCAGCATCATTCTAAATGAAAGCTTTGTGATTGATCAGCTCCCAGTCTACGCCAATATAACTTTGGCTTCTGCACTAGACTTTCAAGCATTTAGGATCTAATGATGGGCTAGTGACTAGTCCTACTAGCCAGCTGGTGTCTCTCTCTGTGGGCAACTGCTATGGGTTAGTCTGAATAGGTAGCTATAGGCATTAGCCCAAGACAGTTGCCCATTGCAAATTTAATTCACAGTAAATTGAATTCATGTCAACCTGGTATTCAAACTTACAAGAATCTGTGCATTGCATGCCTACTTAAGGTAACAACTGCATCGTGGTATGGGTGATCATCACTGTAAATTATAAATAAATAATAACATTGTTAAATAATATAAGTTAAATTCATTTGACACAAACTTACTAATATTTTTAAATTCTAATGTAAATTTTATTTACATTTTAATGAAAAAATATCAGACAAGAACAGTTGAATCAATTCAGCAGCTACATGTGCAATGAATTATGTGCTTGTCATATCCTTTTTGGACCGTTTGAGGGCACAGTAACATTTTGCCTATCAAAACTACCCCAATGACCATAACCTACTGACCCTTGCCCCAACAAATCTGTATTGCATGAGAAGGCACAATTCATAATAACTTCCAAAGTAGCCATGCTGGCCAGGGGGCTTACATCCACACTGTTCCCTTGGTGGGCAGCTGTGGAAAACTTGGCCTAGAAAAAGGTTAGTAACAATACAGTAAAAGTTTGAATGGCAGATAAAAAACAACAAGATAAAAATTTGAAATTAAACCACAATAATTTAAGCTTTAAGTATATAGAAATAAGTTTTCTTGTGCAAATTATCACAAACACTCCTATTTTTTTAGGAAACAAAAGATTCTTTAATAGGAAAAATCAAACAAAGACGAACAACAATGTATTTTGAAAAATATTTCCTGATCATTCAATTTTGTTGTCATGTTGAAACAAACACCAAGGATCAACAAGGCAGCAAAGCTGTCAAATGTACAGACAAAAAACAGAAAATAAAGATGCAAAAAAGGTCATTTTGTCAATTTTGATGCAAAAATAAATAATGCTTATAATAGCACTGTTAGTCAACACTGAATTTTAATCATGCACAACAAGTCACATGGTCAATAACAGGAGCAGACCCTGAGATATTTTCTGACAGTATTCCAAAGTATCTATGTTGATCCATCCTCCATTTTGATGGTCTTCCAACAGAAAAAAATAGATACCAGTCAATATAAACTTAATAACCTGTCTTCCAGAAGACCCAGAAGATGGTCTCAATCCACCCCTTCAATAAGATTACAGTTTCAGGACCATGAGAGACCAAAGTCACATGATGAAAGTCTCAATATTTGAAAAAGCTGTCAAATGTACAGACAAAAAACAGAAAATAAAGATGCAAAAAAAGGTCATTTTGTCAATTTTGATGCAATAATAAATAATGCTTATAATAGCACTGTCAGTCAACACTGAATTTTAATCATGCACAACAGGT